TGAAGTTACTGAGCACAGAACTGCTCAGTATTACATTTAATGCCAGTGTTCCCTCTCATTAGAAAACTCCTGATCTCATTTTGAATTACAAGACTTTGGATGGACTCACCTCTGGATAGCAGTCCTTGGCAAAAACATGCAGAAGTGCCGTTTTCCCACACTGCGTGTCCCCGACCACCACGATCTTACAGCGGCTGCCCAGACTGTCCATGGTTCGTCCGTCAGAGGTGTGCTCTTGATGCGGGTTCGGATCGCATCAAGCCTCCGATAAGAGACTCAGCAGACTCAAAAGAATGTATGAAAGATGAGCAAATGCCTGCGCCAACTCTGGTGCGTCTTATCCAGCTGCTCCTGTTCTGCGGGCGCGACTCTCAGGTCCCGCTGACACACTCTCACTCACTAACTGGTCCACTCACTAACTGGTCCACTCCCCCAAAAAACCAGAGAGAGGAGGACGCGCGAGCCCTCCCCTGGAAAACTGGTGACTTGATTATTGGCCACGCCCTCTTAATATTCACGTCTGAGTCCCATCAGTCAGCTGTGATATTCTGCCCTTGTGGGAAATTAAATGGCACATGTTCGAGACTCAGAAATGAACTGTCCTTACCCCCGTATGACGTCACAAAAATGCAACTATTTGAGTTTTAAAAGTTAAAACACGATATATGAAAGAATTCACGTCATTTAGAGTCACAGACCAAATGTTTACAAACTCATTAGGATCCCAATGAGATTACCCGGATGACGATTTTTAGGCTATTTTACTCCCATTCGATTATTTTCTTCAGAAGTTGTACTTAAGAAATGCAGAGGTGGTAGGTTGTGTGAAAACTGACATTTTCTCATTTCTTATATCATTTTACTTTAAGTTCTTGCCTTACGGTCATACCGTTTAAACCTGTGTATAGTTTTGCTTTTAAATTTGTATTTGCGGGATTTCTGAGTTTTTAATAACTCAAAAATGCACTCTGTAGGCAGCTATTTCAGTCTTAAAAAAACGGTAAGCTCCTAAAAGATTCCTCGATCAATTTAAGAGGATTGAAGAATTCTTTGAATCTCTCTCATCAGAATATAGCTGGGCCTACATGGAAATGTGGTTTTGAGGGAATTTCGAAATTCGAATGATAGGTTATAATAATGCAAATGCAATGGAATAAATTCTAAATGTCTTTTTCGCCTAATATTTATTTGCCAATCTTGGTGTTTTATTGTCCTTGATAACGTCTCACTATAGACCTACCAGAGAGATCAGCATAAATTCTCAGCACATTACTCGTCTAGATTTATTGCCAGCCTGACTCTTAATGGAGATAGAATAAATGCAGCGTACACATATAAAACAGTCCATCAAATTACGCACCTAGGGGGGAATGGGTGATCTTATTGGCCAAATTGCCTTACATTTCTATGACATTCCCCGGAGGTGCTCAGTTCAGTAGTTATTAGTTTTGTGAAAGAGATCATTAAATGACGCGGTACCATGTGCGCCACTGTTGAGTCACGTTTTCGCCCCTGCAGACAGACACTGCCCCCTTCTGGACAAAAATGCTCTTACATATAAAACTGTTACATATTTTATTATAGTGGCAAAAGACCTTCGATTAAATCATTTAAATATTTACCTAACGACATAAAAAGGGGTTTCTGTTATCAACGTTATTTTAGTGTCTGTAGTGATTGCTGTTTGGAGTGTCTCTCTTTTTGGTGGCGCAAGAAGTGATCAGCTGCTGTGTCTAACTAAAAAAGATTTTACAAGTCTTGTATTAAAGATGCACTATGTAGATTTGGTACTGAAATCTGAAAGTTGGATGATTGAAAAAAGTCTGTGTTATATTTTCTGAGGATAGTTTGTGTATTGAGTTATGAACATATATCACATAATCTTTGAATTTCTCCAACTTTCAGATTTCTCTACCAAAACTCCAAGTGCACCTTTAAAATGTTATGCCATAGAAAAGTATAAATAGATTGTACAGGAGTGTCCGTGTAGGTTACTTTTAGTATTAAATTGTAGAAAAATTGCCCCTTAAAATGAAGCATTGTTAAAAAAAATAAAATAAGGTTATTAGTTGTTGTTTTTATACTGATGCATTAATACTTTCACTGCCTTACGAAAATATCAAAGAATAGCAATCATTTTTAAAATGGAACTTCTGTATTCACTCTCCAAAATAAACCACTACTATAGTCCTGCAACTCCAAAATTGACCTCATAATGTCAAAAATCTGGACAGTAACTTCATAGACTGTTAGGAAGAGAAGTTACAAGTAAGTATGTCTTCAGTGTTAATGAGAACTGATTTTGTTGTTGATGTAATTTGTAATTCACTGCCAACAAAATTCCCAATGACCAACGAGAGTCAATCACTTTGCAGGATTTGTAAATTGTTCCAGCATAGCAGTCAGTTTTTCAAAGTTGATATATTTATTTATTTATTTTCTAAAACTGAGGAAAAATCCTTGTCGTTCCTAGTGTGGGAGGGGTGCACATTCCCCCTGAGTGCTGGCAAGCTATAAGTTTGGGCCTGTGTGTGTCTGTTTGTGTGTGAATAACATGAACTGACCCTTTTAAGTACCTCTAATTGAACAGCAGGTGGCAGTGTACTACAAAAGTAACAGACACAAAAGCTCACAAGTTTGTTCTCATTAAAGTGTAGAAATTTGTCATACATGTTTAAATTAATGAATGAACAAAACAGAAATCAGCCAAGCCAGGTCAGATCCCTCAGCAGGGGGATACATGAAAAAATGTGAGACAGAAACATTCAGCATATATTAATTGGCAAGTCTGGAATTGGGAGGGAGGCAGTATGCAGCTCTGAGTTTCTGTGAACTAGCCAGAAAGAATTGAACCCAACCAAAGACTATCCAGTAAAATGAACAAAAGCTCTTTAAAACTCAGCATTTTAATTTAACACCTGCAAATAACATAGCATGTGTGATTTATATACACATGGCAACCTTCACTGCAATCTTGAGCTCAAATGCAGAGCACCTTCAGGGTTCAACTTTTGCCAGAGGGCTATTATTAATGTAGAAATGTACCAGTGTTCAGAAAGTTGCCAAATGTTTACCTTTTAGGATGTTTGCCCGCCCAACAGGTCCATAAAGCAAAACCAACAGATGGGTGAGGTAGATGTCCAATTAAAATACAGTTAAGCACACAACAATTGTAACAAATGTGTTAATGATAATATTGGAGATTATTAAGTCCAAAATATACAAACACTCCCTGAACATGATGTGTTATTATTCCTAAAGCTATCAAAAAGTACCGAAGAAAGACAACATTATAATGTGACTGATACTTTGATCGATACTTGTAATACTTTCCAGAAATACTTGCATTATTTCTTTAACACAGCCGTGCCTTTACTTGTTACAGTAGTCTTACATGGTGCTATTGTTACTTTAACTTACTGTAAGTCATTTATTCTGACAGCATGCATGAGATTTCTCTTTAAAACCTGTTTCTTCATTTAAAAAAGTCATAGTTTAAGTGGAAGTGAAACACTTGTGTGTTTGTAGAGACATTCATCGTCAGAGACTGTTCAGACTCCCTGCAGACTCAGTCTGGCAGAATGGTGACACAGTACTTTATCCAGGCCAAGTCACACCACTGAGCAACATTATGCATCCAGTAACCTACTTAGACAATAGAGGAGTTTTCCAATCTGCACCAGGTGTCCGTGGCAGTATGTCTCTCTTCTGCTGTGTTCCTTTGAACTGCTGCCATTTCCTGTGATGGATACTTCCAACCGTGTGTTTCTGCTGGAGCATGTACTGAAAGTCTCTTTAATGAAACATGCAAAGCTTGTAATCCTTTTTTTTCTCAAACTCCGTCCTGCGGTCCAGGTAATTTTCCTGAATGCTGCATTATCATAGAGGCCCACCCAGAGCTATGAGGAGAAGATTCACCCACAGCATGCTGAAGTGTATTTAGATTGAACAGGAGATCAGACAGCCTGCTAAGTAACATTTACTTCCCTCAAAAGGGAGATCAATACATTTCTGCATGCTATATTCTTAAGCATCTGTGGGATATTGATCAGGACAATGCTGACTTTGGCCTCAGGAGTGCTGAGTGGCACTTAACAGCCACAAGGTGTCTCACTACTCCTCCTGCGGTCTCATCTCTCTGAATGGCCTGGGCTGCCCTCTCAGCTGGAAAATGTGGACCTGGTTTCTTTTTTGTTATATCTGGACTATCATCAAAAAAGGTTTAACACACCCATATCTTTAATTGAATGACCTGCTGGGATTTTTCTTCGTGGCCCTGTCACTGTTGATTTTGATGGAGAGGCCATCCCGCCCTGTGGCTCCAGCTCCCTTAGGCTTAATAACACAAAGCAAGTTGTAATCATTTAATCAAAAGCATGCGTGACCTTAACACAAACTCGTATTTTTCTGAGTCGCCTGTGCAAGGGAAATTACAACAATGAGCAGCACGTAAACCCAAAGTTCCTGCAAATCCTACAGTGGAATAGGCAGCATAAACAGACGTTTCCTCCAGCTCCTTGTTGCTTGCACCATAAACCGGACTGGAAACAGTAAACAGCCACAAATCAGCCAGTACTTTACTTAGTGAGATAAAGGATACTTAATTGATTGAGTCTGCTGATTCAACGCATCTCAGGGACTCTAGGAGTGCTTTGTAATCAGACAGCCCAAAAATACAAATTCAGTGTACTTTTTATGACTTGATGTGTGTCTGAATAAATAATTTGGCTTCTTGTGTTTATGTGTTTACTACTTTTTAGTCTTGTGATATAACCTAATTTTAACTTGAATATTTCTGTGCAGACAGGCAGAAATCAGCAGATTTCTGTTGGCTTCAAATGCATATAGGCTACATTTTACAAATACCGTGCATTTTTGCAAATCACCCTTACTTGATGCATCATATGCTTAACCTCATAGCCCTACCCAACCCAAAGCCAACCAATCACAAACGCCCATCCATGAGTTTCATCAGCTCTCCGGGTTTTCCAGCCAGCCTGCGTCTCGTCCCACTCACACTCTGTCAGAGCACTGCGTTGACAGCCACTGGCCACTGAGCAGTCCACTCTGTCGGGGTTTGAGTCTCCATGCAAAACTGCTGAAAAGAAGCTCTGACTCTCCTTTTCTTTAATTTGCAAAAGACACAGACAAAGGGCAAAGCCAGTGCACGGCGACAGACGCACAACAAGTGATTCTAAAAAAAAAGCCTCACAAGTCATTTTCTAGACTCATCTCTGTCTCTCAGCTCCCTGCACAATGTCTGGAGAGGACGCACCTGCCCAGCAGCAAAACGCTGTGGACCAGAAGCAGGAGACCAAACCCGCCGAGGAGCCTAAAGCCGAGCCGCCTAAAACCGAGTCCGCACCCGCTGCCGCAGCCGAGGCAGATGCCACCCCAGCGGCAGCCACCGAGAAGGTCCCCGAGGAGGAGACCTTCACGTACCGCGCCCTGGTGCTCACCGGCCATGGAGGATACGATAAAGTCAAGCTACAGGTGAAGAAGGGGAAGCCCACGCTCAAGGCGGGTGAGGTCCTGGTGCGGGTCAAGGCATGTGGGCTCAACTTCGCGGACCTGATGGCTCGACAGGGGCTGTACGACCGGATGCCATCCCCGCCGGTCACCCTAGGGATGGAGTGCTCCGGGCTCGTGGAGGCTGTGGGGAAGAAGTGACGGACAGAAAAGTAAGCACACATGGCTCTCGTCTTTTTTTTCTTAATCTCAAAGTTACATTTCAGCGCGTGTTTCATGGTTTAAGTGATCAAATTGTGTTTCGCTTGCTTTTTTTTTTTTTGGTGCTGAAGTGCTACATCTGGATATGGGCGTGTCAGGCTGTGCTCACTGCTCAGAGAATGCTGGTGATGCCTTATAAAACAGATTAAACACATAATGGATTAAATTCTAACAAGCTATTGGGTCTGGTTTTTTCAAAAATTGTTTTACATTAAATAAAAATAATAAATTTGAGCTGCCATGGGCGTTCATCCATTCATACATTCGTGCGTAAGGAGGCAGCACTTGTTTTCTCAAAGTTAAAATAAATAAAGCCTCTTATTGAATTCAAGGCAGGTGTTTTATCTCTTAGAAAGAAGCAACGAAGTGTATAAATGACGAGAGTTGAGCACAATGAAAGCAGCAGCAGCAGTAGCAGCAGCAGCAGGCGTCGCCCCTCTTGTCTCCCCTGTTGTCAAACGACGCTGTCTGTGCGCACTTAGGCTGAGCAACTTCAAGTAAAAAAAAAAGAGTTTCAGAGACGAAGATGCATTCACTGTTCATAAGTGCGTGTTTTAAATGTAAAAGTCTGAACTATCACGTGCAGATCACCTGGATGCTTTCCACTCTTGCTGCACCTACGCTGCTCTGCGCTTCGACGTGTGCCAAGGCGCCGAGAGCTGCATCAAGTCAGCTAAAATAAAACCGGATATCAGATTGTTCTGCCTTCAAATTTAAAGCTTTAAAATTGAACCCGAGAGTTCGCTTTGTTTTTAATGGAGATGGATACATTCAACATACATATATACACAGCAATAAAAGAGGGATGTTTGAGCCTATCATTTTTTTTTTAATGCTAACAAAGCATTCCTACACTGTAAAAAAAAATGTGTGTGGCCTGTATGCATCTAAATGCTACTGTAAAAAAAAAAAAAAAAGATGAATAATAGGCCTACTTAACGACAAAAAAACAAAGAAGGCTATCAGTTTGATTTTTTACAATCGCTACTTTCGATGCTCTCACTGCAAAAAAAAAAAAAGTATTAGAGGCGATTTCATTTAAAGACAGAATCTTGGTGCCACAGTTAGTATGTCTGACTTGACTCTGGTGGCGGAGACCAGAGTCCCCGACGCCTTTTGTTACCGGTGGCGCACAGACTCACCGAGCTGAAAGGGCGAGGCAGCATCAGACAGCATGATGTGTGAAACAGATCATCACTCGCCCTTTTTGTCAACACAGAGCTTCGGTTGTGTTTAGAAGATATACAGCCATCAATAAATAAAGTTAATTTAATCCAACATCCATCAAAAAAAAAAAAAAAAAAAAAACTTTCTTTAATGTTCAGCCACAGTGTGTGAAGTGGTGAAGAGAATTATTGTCACTTTCTTTCTTTCAATGCATGATGAGTCACAGTCTATATGTCTGCCTCCTGGCCCTGTGGCATTACCACGTTAACGCCTTTTGTAAGGCAATTAAGCATCAAAGGCAAAATGTTACACATCAGTCAGTGGTGACTCACTGTTTTGTTGTAATAGCACCACATTTTCTCACATCAGCTTGTTAATATGTGTGCTTAACAGCACGCTGATCATATGTGGGATGCAGTGGCAGAGTCAGTACATCTGGCTGGGAGTGGCACATATGTCTGTCAGGCACGAATCCATATGGATGGGGAGTAAATGCAGAGTAATGAGACGCTGATCGATGATAGGTCAGCCAGTCACAGCCACACAGCACAAGGAGGTTGTGTTTCAAAATGACTTTACAGCTTCTTTCCACATTGTCAGTGATGTAGATTGAATTTAAAGGTCAGACACATATGCACAAACACACCTTGTCACCAAGGCCGCACACCCCCTCATCCCCTTGCAGTCTTTTGCTTATAGAATTAAGAACCAATCTTGTTAATGGATTGAGATCTCTGAGATGTTTTGGCACGGAGCGAATGTGCTGACCCTAAAGGCACATCATTTTTTTGGAGGCTCATCACTCACTGCAGCTCTGTCTGTCCACCAGCACACACACACACACACACACACACACACACACACACACACACAGGCACACAAAGGCATGCAATAAGGGGTGTGTCAGTTAATTTCCAAAACAGTGTACATAAAGCTACGAACACATTCATGACGTTTGATTAAACAATGCAACATACACACGAGAGGCTAAGTAATGTTTGGCTTATTTCTTTATCTTGCCGCTGTTTGAACCTCACTAAACATTGGATATTCTTCGTCTTAATTGAAAATAGATTGATCATATGCTTCCCTAAAGCCCCCCTGTTTTCTATTGTTTTTCATGTATTTCTTATATTTCTTATCCACTGCATGCCTTGCATTGTATTTTAATAGCTGCTGCAAGACCAGCGTCCCTCAAGGGGGCAATAGATTTGAATGAAGTAATACTACAGTGTCCTCACCCCACATGACCTCAGAGGGAAAACAGGGGAGAAGTGTAACAGTGAGTAAGCAAGGGAAGATCAGAAATATCACAACGAAGCTCCAGTCACACTCAACATCAGCACTTTTTTATCTCAAGGTCTGCTTTTTTTTTCTTTTTTAATTTTGGTAGGCTCTGACCCATATGTTCTCAATTACCTCCCTCTGGCCCACATTGTCAGCCTGGTATTTCCTCCATCCCTCCTTCCCGTCCTCTATCTATCTTTCCCCCTTTTGGATAATCTCTCTCCATTCTACTGTCAGTGGAAGCCTCTTTCATTCTGCCCTCCCTTAATATCACCATCAGTAAAGTTTACTGTAAACTGCAGACTAAAAAAAAACCAAACAGACAATGTGTTTGTTGTCAAATTTAGAAAATGTTAGAGTTGCATTAGGGCTTCTTATATCACTTCAACTGCAAAATGAGAACAGTAATAATGGTGTTTTGGTAGCGTGATGTTCTAATTTGCATAATCAGGTGCAGTCAAGTGCAGAAAGCAGCATGCGGCCTGTGTGAAAGCAGGGCGTGGCCTTTATCCGACAATCATACCAAACGTGTTAAAGCACCATACCACCTACGCTGACACCAGAGAGATATTATGTTTCCTTTTCATCACATTCGCAGGAGTCATGCAGCCTCTGTGGGTGATAACATCTAACCTTCATCTCCCCCTCAGCCCAACTCAGGAACATTGTATCAGAAATTTTCTTCGTCCTTTATTTCCCTCTGATCATTTTTTTTTTGCTGAGATCATCAAATCTCAAAACCATGGAGCAGCTGACTAAGAGGCCCACATACCCCAAATTGAATCACCATCTGATTAAGTCCATTCATATACAGCTGACTGGAAGTGTCATTGTTCAGTCCCCCCCCCCCCCCGCACTCTTGACCCCAACTGTGACTACATTTTCAGCAGTGGCATGAAAGCTGTGAGAGGAAATGCAAGATGTGTGTGTGTGTGTGTGTGTATGAGTGTCGCACTGCAAAGATGTTGTAACAGAACTGTCACAAGGCTTGCTCGCTCACTCGGCCTTGAATGGTTTTCTACCCAGATTCTGTGCCTGTCAGTAGCTCACATGCTTTACGTGGGTGCAGAAGAATAGCTGTAGATGCATTTGAAGGTGTGAGTCATATTTGTGTGTATTTCCTGTAAAGGCCTGAACTCCCCCATCTATTGATTTGTCCCAATTACAGCAGCGAGGATGATGAGTTTAAAGATTAAAAGAAAAGAGAAAACAAGCATGAGTATGGAGAACAAAGGAGAGGAAAGAGAAGTAGCCCATGGTTGAAAAGTGAAAGTTTGAAAATAGACCAAATGACTAGGCCTCAGACAGAAAAGAGAAAGAGATAGAGGGAGATCTCTCTAATTGGAGTGGATAGACAGCGAGGCGCATGGCTCCCTCCAGACCATTAGAGAGGCCCGGGTGGAGCGGGTTTGTTCCCAGGAGGAGAGCGCTTGTCTTATGCTCAGCCATGGGGAAGAATCTGGCAGGGTCTCTGATGAGCGCAGGGAGGCCAGGGGAAGAAGATGGGCTCCATTGTCCTGTCTCGCTGATGATGAGGAAGTAGAGGGGACGTGGGACACTCCTCGCAAGGAAAAAGGAAGAAGGACCGAGAAGACAGAACGAGACAGCAAAGGGTGAAGAAACAGGGAGGAAAGGCCCAGACAGGATGAGACGGGAGGCTGGAGAAGGGGAAGGAAGATGTTCTAAAGTTGTCAGAGGGAAAGGAGACGGGAAGTGAAAGAGAAAGAGGGGAAGAGAAAAAGTGAGAAGAATGGAAACATGGCGGGAAGGGAGAGCAGCGTCGAGAGGGGAGGATAAGGGGGAGGAAGAAAACAGGAAGAGAGTTATAATGCTGCTGTGGTCTCTGTTTCCCGTGTACCTCGAGCAGGGCTCCGCTGATTGGTTGGTGAGGGAGCCAGGGGTAAGTTTAGATCATGGCTGGGCCTTTTGTCAGAAACAGTTGTGAATCGAAGGCTCCTGCTTTGATAAGGACAGACTGGAAGCAGAGAATGACAAGATGGAGATTGTGGCAAGCGGCACGTAGAATGACGTCTGTGGCTTTCTAACTGTTAGCTCTGTCAGAAACATCCTCCGAGAAGTCAACACAATGTCTTCTCTTACTCTGCAGTGGGTTGTCAACCTCCTTGTTTTCTCACAAATTAAACTCTTCCAGGTTGGGTTGGCTGCATGTTTGCATGTCTTCCATAGTTGTAAGAGAACAATAAACCACAAAGTTACTACGCCTGCTGCACGGCTCGCATCATTCCCACAGCGCCAAAGAAACCGTTGAGCTGCAGATGGCAGGAAGCTCCAGATCACTTCAGGATCTAGCAGTTAAACCTCCTGGGGTGCAGAGCTGCCAGTGGGTCCTTTTAATGCTCAAGAAGTTGATTTCATTAACCATATTATCTTTTAATTTAGTACAATTGTTGTTGTATGTATCCTTGTTCGGTTTTGTTGGTTGAGGTGATGCCTGATAACTTCGTCTGTGGCTAAAGAAATGAATAAGCTACTGAAACTGCAAAGACGTGATGGTGATGGGGAGCTGGAGGAGCTTACTGTGCATGCAGTGATATGAATGAACTTCAAGCGGAGAAAAGTCGTATTTAAAAAATGTAAAGTATGATTAAACCACCACAAATGCAATGACTCACAGTGCTATGGGATATATATCACCATGATCCAGAATCAACATCAACACACTATTAATTAATTAAGGCAGAAAAAGATGTTCCAATACATGTTCCATATCCTGCATATTAGCGTTAGTTAGTTGCTCAAGCACTCTGGAAGGCAGCTTGAGGTGTTGAGGTTGTAAAATTGACTCAATATTTCGACATGTTTTTTAGTCTTTTAATCGATTTACCAATCAGCAAGTTGATACGTTTTCACTTGGGTACAGGTGATTGTTTTCAGGTGCTATTTTTTTTGTTTTCGTACCTCCTTCTCACCATGTGTCTTTTTGTATCTTCTGTGTCAGGTGGGTGATAAGGTGATGGTGCTGAACCGCTTCGGGCTATGGCAGGAGGTGGCCGTGGTGCCTGCGAGCCACACCTTCCTCATCCCAGAGGGCATGAGCTTCGAGGAGGCAGCCGCCCTGCCCGTGAACTACATCACCGCCTACATGATGCTGTTTGACTTCGGCAACCTACGGCCCAACCAGAGCGTCCTGGTTCACGCTGCTGCAGGTGAAGAGACAAATACAGGCACATACACAGCTTACATGCATGAACAGCAAGATCCATTGTCCCTTCTATTTTATGAAAGGCTTCAGCCAAGAATGGGTGCAACATGCTTCAATAAATCTCATTAATTTCAATCATGGTTGAATTCATTATAAGTTCATTAATAATTAATTTACAAACTAAGAGACACATTATTTTACTCCATTCGGCGTCGTATCTATACAAACTGTCAGGCTCAAATTAAGATTTATGTCATAATCCTGCAGCTGAAAAACACTTTTAATCAGTTTCATGTCATTCCACCACTGAATCGTGCTAACTTTGCAAATTAATTTAGTACTTTTGAGCAGATCTACCTTTTAAAACATTTTATGCATGAGCGAAGATTCAAAGCTTGTTTTCTTTTTTTGGCATTGAGGCAAACGCCCTTGAATGTTTACAGTAGAATAATTCCTTTTGCTCTGCACCTCCTGTGTATGCATTTCTTTTCTCTATGAATTATGACTGCAGAAGGTCCCACGGTTCATTAGTATGAGAAATGGCTTAGTTTTACTCACCCGCTAGGACTGCGCTTCCACTGTGCAGCACCTGCCACCTGCAGTGTGGTCAGGGGTCAGTGTGAGTACGTGGGAGAAAGCTGTTTTTTATGGAGTAAAAGCAACTGTTTCAGGGTGTGATGCATTTCATTTTTGTTGTGTTTTGATAATCAGGCCAGCTGGAGAGTATGGGGAGTGCATTAGCCAAAAGAAATTGTTCTCTCGCCATTTCTACCTCGCTATCTGTCAGTGTGCAGCTTTCACTTCTCCTCTCGTTCCCACTCTTTCTGTGCTGAGGGAATCAGAATGGAATCCCTCTGCATTTGGGACAGTGTGTGGGTGTTAAGTGAAGTAAGAGCATAATGGAACCTGATCCTGTTTTCTCTCTGGGAGACAAAAAAAATGACTGAGAGCTCCAGGGAACAAGCTAGTCCAGGTGGATGTATCCCTTAGCACTCAAACAATCCAAGAGAAAATGGACAAGTTGTAAGATTAGAATTCAAATGTGCAGCTTCCCCAGAGATAAAAGGCAGCTAACATTCTCATAGTTGTGGGTTTGGCGGTCTGCAGAGGAATCCAAAATGTTTGTATTCATCATATCATCCAGCTGACGTGACACATGTTGTTTTCCGTGCAGAGTATGTGTGCTATAGGAGGAATGCTGGGGAAGTGTGGTGTAAGAGACAATTTCCCCTGCTGGTTTGGTCTAGGCGGCGTCTCTGGTTTCTGGCGGCGGGCTGCCAGTCTTGGCTTGCCGGCTGTCCGGACATCAGGATTGTTAAAGCACATTACTGAGGCTCTGACAAAAAAAAAAGAAAAAACGTTTGCTCAACAGTCTGCCTCACTGCACTCGGTCATTCTCTGCATGTGTAAGTTATTATCAATCGCTGTTCCGCTGAGGCTCCCGAAGGCTTTTTATATTAGCATTAGCATATTAGCATGATCATAGTGTCTTGTGGAAAAGGTGTTACTAGTGTGAGGGGGTGCACATTCCCCCTGAGTGCTAGCAAGCTAAGTGTGTGTGTGTGTGTGTGTCTGTCTCTGATTTTTGCTTATTAAAGAAATCAAAAGTGTCTGCTGTGACATTGCCAGGACCAGAGAGAGAGAGAGAGAGAGAGAGAGAGAGAGAGAGAGAGAGAGAGAGAGAGAGATTATGATTATGTATGTCAGTGCCTGGTCTAAAGTCTTTTTTACATTATAAAAGTAATTGCAGACAGAGGTCATTTTCCTGATTAAATGACTTCCAGTTACTTTAACAAAATTGTAACCCGACTGTAACTCTCAGTCAACCAAACGACAGTCTGAGAGCTGGAGCTGAGGCGGGTTTTAAGCCTCCTGACAAACCGTTACATTACGCCCGCATGTCAATCGGGTCAGCTATGCTCTTTAATGTGAATAACACTTCTCCTTCATAAAATCAGGATGGATGGATATTTGTTTGTGTTTTTTTTTTAATCAGGCTGTAAACATGTTCATATCTGCTGTAAAAACAGGATTTTTTGAATGGGTGTGTATGGGACTTCTGGGGCCTCTGCTCCCAGCCTCCAGTGGACATTCGATGAACTGCAGGTTTGTTTCAACACCAGAGGTTGTTGCTTGGTTTATGTAATTAAGTGATTTCACTATGGAATTCCTATTATTCTGAAACACCTTGTGGGGAATCTTTCCCCGCTTTGTTTGGAACTGAAGTTATTCCATCTTTAGAAATGATTATTTCCAGTTACAGATCAAACTTCTGACTTAAAGACTTATTCATGTCATCATATTTAAGTCCTTTTTTGACTGTATTGTGTAACATAATAATGTGTAAAAACCACTACACATACGGAATCTAAAAATTCTGTCTTTGAACTTCAGCTGCCTAATCATTTCGTTGAAATCTATTCTAAGTAACACACCAGATTACAGAGCATTTATTGTATTTCGATTGTGAAACTGTAATTAAAATACTCTGTTCCTCTTCAACGCTGCCCTCAGCCCCGGTTAACATTTCATATTACCACATGCAGTATTAATGTGTGGACACGCTGTCTCACAAGACTTCATCAAGAAGATGGGCTTGATGAAGTCTGTGACAAGAAGTCATATATCCTACTGAACAGCAGCGATGCTGGGAGTTAGACGTGCCTTCACAACACTGCATTCCTGCCGGATCAATTTATGTTTTGTGAAGATAAAATAGTAAGCCTTTTATCTCAGAGTGGGAGTATCAGTGGTGCAGACAACAGACAGTCACAGGGTAAACTGTTTGGAAATCATGATTTAAAGCACAGTAATTTTAATTAAAGGCCATAGTAGATCAACAGCTCTGTAGCAGCAATAAGACTCTGTGTTTGCGCAGCCATGTTACGTATTATTACATTTTTTTGAAAGCATCTCTTTAGTAAATGCTTCAGGGCTTTAACATCCTCAGTTGACCTTTTTACAGAGGCATGATGGGTAACTGTATCCTCTTTGCAGGTTAAACCTCATTACTTATCAAGAGCTCTCCATCATTTCCTCAAAAGAACAGTGACCAGAGCAGAAGGGCTGGCTGGTGTCAGCTTAAATCATGCCTTAATGTTTGTTGTGCATGTGTGTGTGCGTGTGTGTGTGTGTGCGTGCGTGTGTGCGTGTGTGTGTGTGTGCGTGTGTGTGTGTGTGTGTGCGTGTGTGTGTGTTTGTAAGTGAGTAGTCCTCAGCTGCCTCTCTCGTGGCTCCGCTCCTGTCCTCTCTCTCCAAACAATAGCTTGTTGTATTTCCTCCCATCGTGCCTCCCTTCCCCGCCGCGCTGAACATCTGCATCCTCCGTTCTCCTCTGTCCTGCTTGTTCTCCTCGCTCTCCTCCCCTCCATGGCCCTTGTTGACCTACGCTCCCTCTGGTTTGACCTCCCCACATCCCTCCCTCGCTCCTCGTCATTGGGGATCGTACGCACGTTTCTCGTTGTTTTACGCAGAAGGTGTGTGTGTGTGTGTGTGTGGTGGGGGGGCATTTGGTGACATTTGGATGCATCTCGTGGGTCTTCCTCTGTGCTCCGGGCCAACATCCTTTCCTCTGACCTCTCCCTGAACTGGTCTGAATGTTTACGAACGCCAGCCAGTACCCCCCCCCCCCCCCCCCCAACACCACACCCACTCCACACATTCCTGCATACACATGGAGCTCGGCTGCTTCCAATGATGACGTCCACCCCGATGATTTCTCCGGTGACCGCAGGCCAGTTTCAAGTGTCACGCATTGTGTTGCAGATGTGGAATGCACAGTATGAATTATATGGACCTACAGGAGCCTTTGTCATCAATTCATCTCAAGATGTTGCTTCATGTGATAGGACTTTATGACCTTTTGGCACCAGTGCTACAGTAATAGAATTTGTGGTTTAATTGCATCTAAAAACATTTTCCCAGCACTGTAAGGTGCATACATCCTCTGTGGTATTTAATTAGATTGATAACAAAATGTTTATTTTTCTCACCAGACAATTACAGTGTCTTACACACTTTTCCTGCAGCTGCTTCTTGCGCTGTGTATGCATAAAGGATGAAGTTACATCAAGACACAGTGAGGATTATCCGGAAACATTTGATGTGATAGGCTTCCAGCTGCTACATATAAACTGAGAATGAGAATGAGTAGAGTTTAATCTGTTAAGTGTGGATCGAATTTAGCTTCTGGTTGTTTAAAGATTTTAGAGGTTGTGAGTTTCTATTAATGATATATAAATGTTGATATGGGGATTCTCCAGGAAGATTTACAGTAATAGATTCAAGCTATGGCCATTTACTTTAAAACTACTCTGAGGAACTATAATCTTGTAGAGATGATGACCCCTGTACATCATTTATCTCTTTGCTGATGTGAAATAATGTTTTCTGATGAAACGTCAGCCATAGTTTACATCAAAAATGTATCACCTCGTCTGACACTGAGCCTCTGGCAGCGGCTTCAGGCACTAAAAGTTAGTTTAAAGGAATAGTCAATCTTCTCTCTGATGGTCTCTTTTGCTTTAACACTGAAGGCCAAAAAAGGGGAAGTGTTATTTTCAGTCTGTTTTATAACCAGCTAAAATCTCCTCAAAGAAGCTTGAATTATTTTCGTGTTTTATTCTTTCAAATCTTTTTTTTGCCGTATTTGTTGAGAAGGATTCTCGATAAGACTAGTTTAAACGTGAATGAATCAAAGCTGCGGTACATACAAGAGCCAATCTGAACTAAGAACAGAAAAAGGCCTCAAAGATTCTTTATGAAAGGAAGAGCTACCCACAGGGTCGAAAATCAGAGGACTACCCTTTTGTCTTTCATCGGAACAGAAAAAGAGAGTTGAAGTCTTCGAGAAGACAAAACTGTTGTTGAGACATCAACAGGAAGATTGGAAAACGTCATGATCCTGTCGCTCAGTCAAATGTCCGGCCAAATTGTAGATTACGGCTGGATTGTGATCTTTTTGAGGTTATGTTATCTTAACTTATTTATCTCTTGATTTGATCA